GACCACCAGGGACACTGTTCCAGATTTAAAATAAGTGGGTAAAAACATCCAAGTGATCTTAGAGGGCTGTACCATGTAAAGCTGAAGGCTGCTTTAGAAAAACGTATTTTCAAAAGTTGCCAACAGACTAAGCTTCTGGTAAATCATTTCTTCGTGAGTCTATTGGATTATACAGTTAGATGAAGTAGACATCACTTTAACCTCATAAAATCCACTCACCTACGCAGTATGTTTAAGTCTAAACACCAAGTAGTAAAGTGGAGAATGGGGCAGGAATAAGCAGCAGAAGCCAAAAATCCAGCATATTCAATAGGAAGGTCTAACCGGTGCACCCCAACAAACTGGAGAACCCCGTACGGCGCGCCAGACTCACCTTCTCCAACTCTACCAGAAAGCTGTCCAGAGACTCATCTGAGAGCTTGCCAACCTCGAACATTGTGACGGCATGACTTTTCAGGTTCTGCAATAAAGAAAAAACACATATAAAATAAATACCCAAAATTTACCTTATACAAGTCTATCATTAAAGCTCTGTTTTCCCTCTATGATGTCAAGAATAACATCTCATACAAAACGTTATTTATATGATCCTTTCCAATATATTTAAACTTAAGGATGGTAAGAAGAGGGACCCGATCCTTCAAATGCCAAAAGTAACACTGATTAAATTTGACTACATACTATGACATGGAATGGGGGCACAATGGCTTAGTGCTGACGGCAAACCAAAGCAGCTCATTCATTCAAACCCTTCCCAGCCACTCCACAGCAGATTACGTGGCAGTCTATTTCCACAAAGAGTTCCGGCTGACCACCCTATGGGGCCATCCCACTCTGTCCTGTCCGGTCACCATGAGTGGCAGCGACAAGTCTGGTTTGGAAGGAATGTAAACCACAGTCGATTGCATTTTCAGCAATAAATCTAGTAACACCTCACACTCACACAAAGACAGAACAGGAATGAGTTGTCTTCATTGTAAGCAGGTTCATACTCAGAGAAGCATCTGACTTACTGGTGAGAGATTGCCCATCATTAAAAAGGCAGTCAGCGTCGAATCAAACAGAAAGGCGATGCGCTTGGTATATCCAGTGGACAGGCTCAGGCTGCATATGCTGGCAGTGTCAGCTGAAAGAAATGTCTCATTTCAAACCATGTAAACAGAGATCACTTTTGCTATCACTTACAGTGAGAAAGGACTTCATTTCAGCTTTAGTTGCCAACCAGAAAATGCATAATTAGGTATAAGCAACATTATAGCCAAAAGGCCAGCCTCTCCTACATGCATACTGTTTTGTTTTGAATCTTCATTTATTTATTTCATCATCTTTTTTTTTGCTATGTAATCCCTCATTCAATCTGGACCCGCCACAAAGGCAGACAGAAAGCACAGGGACTTTTTAATCTTTCGCATCCTAGTGCAAACCAGAAGAACAATGGTCAATTGTCTCGGGTCTATCATAGGATGCTCTCAGCGTGTTTTAAAAGCCAGTAATAAATTATGGCTTGATGGCTCAGATTAATAGGGCTGTCTCATCCAATGTCTTTAGGGAATAGAGCTCTTCCAGGAGTCTGTGTTACTCCCACCCCTTCGCCCCCACCCCCCAAAAGAAAGGCACCCCTGCCACCAGGCTTCGCCCCGCCAGCTGCTTCTCCACGAGAGCGTCCCCGACTCTTCCTCTGTGCTCCCCTGAGGAGCACAGCACTTCTTCCAACCTCGCTCGTTTAATGGCTAACCCCTGCCTAGGAAGAAGGTCCCATGTCCTAGCTGACTATGTACCACGATAAAGACGCACATCAAGCTTGGTAAATCACGGGGGCAGAGAAAAATAGGAAGACCCTCGACAAGTTGTAATGAATGGCAGCAACAAAGGGCTCCAACATAACTGGGCGAATGGCACAGGGTCACTGTTCGTTCTGTTGTACGTAGGGTGGGTGGCTAGGCCCTTAATGCAGACCCACCAGCATGCCACCGTGGTGAGGTACGCAGTGACTGCTATGCAACGAGCAAACCCTTCGACAAACCTACCCAGCAGCCGTCAGTCTGGAGAGCCTAAAGACGGCTCCAAGGAAGCAGCACGCCAGCTCACCTGGATCTTCCTGGCTGTTGGTGTCGGTGTCTGTGGCCGAGGAAGCGTCCTGGACGGGGCTCCTACTCTCCCCGCCATCCCAGGAGAGGAGCATTTTTTGTGGGTCGAAAGTCGTCCTATTAGTTGAAGCATACATCCACTTTAAAAGTTCTACAAACCATCTGATAAGAACCGTTTCTGACATAAACACTCAAATTAGGAGCAGTCACAGAAATCCCGCCTTTCATTCAAGCTGGAACTTGAGTAAGAGCCCACAAATCCCCCTCCACCCATTCACAGCAAGACCCAAGGGACGGGCTTCAGGTCATTAAGAGAAGCCATCAGCACTTTGTGCACAACAGTCTCTGGGGTTTTGTTCCTGGGAACGGGGCTCTCGGCTTTCATCACTCTGACAAGCTCCAGCACAGAAGAGGAAAGTAGCTGCCAGATGGGGAGAGGAAGGAGAGGCTTCTTAGGGTACTGGTTTCTAAAAGGACACATGCAAATCCACACTGAAAAAATGCATTACTTTAATCTGTTTACAGATGGAACATTCCGCCAGGATGAGTGAAGTTGATCCAAATTTATTACTTGCCCCTTCTTATGAGCAAAGCCCAACCGACAATACATTGAAACGGCATTCTGAAAGGAATATAAAGGAAATTAACACTTAAAGGAAAACAGGACATCAGAATATTGAGGGGTGATTCAACAGGCTATGCTTACAATGATCCTCAAACATTATCATCCCCTAACAAGAACCCCCTTTCAGGAGACCTGTTCGTCTCCTGCAATCTTCCATGATATAAGCAGTTCCCCAGCTAGGCAGGCGCCCACTCTTGAGCTGGCCTCGTTTCGCGCAGGTGTGCCTGTTA